TTTTTTTCTTCTCATTTTTTTTTTTTTCGTATCTGTCAAAATTTTATAATAGTTTTATGTACGTTTTTCTTTTGCTTACTTTTATTTTTTGATCTTACATCATAAAATTGGATTAAATTTCAATGTAATGTAAAAATGGATTATTTTATTGTTTGTACGCTCTAATGCCGGTACTTAGATGAAAACGGAATTACAACTTATACATTGTGGTTGTTGGCACTAACATTTATTTGCTGTTCTACAAAAATTTTAGACGATATGCTTTTTTTTTTCTTTTGCACTGCATGAAAATCAAAAATCAAATCTGATTAATAGTATCAGTGAGCTGAAGCTTATCATTTTCGATTTGAACCATTGATAATGTTTAGTTTTTTTTAAATTGCACACCAGGGGAACTGGGGTGATAACTTTTCGCATTTATCTGGTACCATCTGCAGATTTAGTGAAGGATTTGATTGCAGCATTGATGGCAAAAGTGGATGAAATAGCGGGGATAATTAACTGTAACTTTTGTTAATCACAAACAAAAAATTATAATAAAATGATTTGTTACTGAAGACGTCGAATTAATTAACAATTTGCTGTTAGATTTCACTTTGCCTGTGAGAACTGCGTTTTGGAAAAGGTTATTTACTAAGAAATTTTTGCTACACGAGACTTCAACAGTTTAATTGAACTCTGTTGCATTTTAAATGAGCGCTGATGAGTCGTATTTATATTTCTGTTTCTATATTTTTTACGTTTTTATTATTTTATGATGTTTTTTACTGTGTTTTATGAGTGAGTCAGAAATTTATTTGCATTTACCTGGCAGTAGGTAACTGCAGGGTTAAGAAAATTGACATCTAATTTTCTCTGCTAGTGTGAACAATTCTCACTGTTAGAATAGAATAGAAATGGTACTGGAAAAATTGCACTTTGCATCAGGAAAAAGTAATTAAAAATTGTGCAAAGCTCATAAATTTGGAGTGAAAGCATCAAAGTACAGTTGTAAGCTGATAGCAGACTGGTAATGGTTGTCAGGCAAAAAGAGTATTAAGTCTTCTCCATGATTTCATGCTTATCTTGTTGTCACTTATGTCTACTATATAAGTAGTTAAATTTTTGTGAATGCTGTTAAAGACATAAATTTTCCATATTACTGTTTAATGTCGATGTTCATCAATCTTATTTTGAAAAAATAGGTATTATGTGTTAAACAAAAGCCATCAGTGTAACTCTGAAATTGATAGGAAGCGCGGAAAAAAAAAGATTAATAGAG